AAACGTTCTTACTTGTAGAATCTCGACGTCTAGGTCGTCCACCATATATCCCACATCCATCACAGGGTAATGTACCCATTCCTCGCAGTCTACTCTAGTTCGATAACTGTCCTTTTTTCCCCCAAAATGAAAGGTGCTACACATCGAGGTACTAATTAGTATGATGGCTTTTTTCGAGGAATTTCGTCGTGGTTCTCCTCCAATCGGGGTTCGTTCGGTGCTAAATTTGTAATTATCGACGATTGTGCCTGGGATAGGCAGATCAATGTTCTTCCCTTTCAGTTCCCCGTAGATTTCATGCGTCAATCCCATTTCTGCCGCTACGTTGGCAAAGTAATTCGGTGGTGAGATTGGAAAGAATTTTGAAATCCTGAAGATCATCGACAAGTGCACTACATAAGAAAATAGACTGTTAATTTCGTTCTGCCTTTTTACTCTTTTTGAGTTTTCTATTTACCGAATCCGTATCCGTCCCTTGTTCTTGGCCCTAGTGCAATTGCGCTCGGGTTCATTATCCCATCCACTTCGTTTTCTTTGGGATCTTCCTTGTCCAGGATGAACACGGCGGATGCTTCGATGGTTCCCAGGTTAATTGTTCCGCCCTCAATTACTTCCATTTGTGACATATCTGTAATATAACTTCAGCTCTTATTGTTCCTTCTTTATTTTTTTCGCTTTCTTATTTACCTGTTCTTTCCACATCGGGTTCTACGTGTAGCTTTAAGGATTCACGCCAGATTTTTTCTAGTGCTCTTTCCTTTCCCACGTGTAGCGTGACGTTTCCCAACTTCATTTCGATTGTATCGCCTGCAAAATTAGACTTTCTTTCTTAAAATATTCTTCATTCTAAATATTTTTTTTTACATACCGATGTTCTTTACTTCGTCATTGTTGTCCAAACTTAGGAACAGTTCTGTTGGTTCCGTAAAACCTCGCAATAGGTGATCTCTATCCACTTTTGTTATTGCCGTAAAGGCCTTTCGTAGTCTCATCATTGCTGCTGTTTCGGCCTTGTTTGAATCTTCAATTAGGCGACGACGAGCGTTTAGTGTTGTTACCATTGTCGTCTCTGACTGTGCCAGTTTCACATGCTCTTCTTCCACTGACATTAACTTCGCCTTCTTTCGGTTCAACGAGGCTTGGGAACCTTCTATCATTCTGTCGCATAGGAACTCGTTCTTTATTACTCCCAGACATTCCACCAGACGTTTCCATGAGTCCAAGCTTAGCTTCTCTAGTTGTACTTCGTTCAAATTTACAAATCTTTTTGTCTTGACTCTAAATTTTGTTTATGTCACTTTAGCTTTGACATACTCATTCGAGATCAGTATTCACTGAGATTCACTGACCAAAATAATTTTCAACTTAATGCCTCCGTTTTTCTCATGTCTCTTAGACATACCCGTGACTTAAAACACGCAAGATGTTTTCATAGAAATAAAATTGTCGACCCTCCTTTCCCACAACCCACACACCCGCTTCAGTCATTATCATCACAATTCCCAAAATCGGTGATGTCTTCAGTTCTACCAAACTTCCCACTGCTAGACGATGATACGGTGTTGTTGTATCCGCATTCTTGGCTCGGGGCAAGATCATTTCCAAATTAAATGGTTCTTCTTGTAGAAACCATTCTGATGTCATGAATTTTCTGTAATCATACATTTTTTCATTAATTTTTCTTCTTTCAATTTTTTCACTTTTGTCTCTTACTTGAAAATGTTTCCTTCTGCTCCCGTTGCATCAGGATTCACGTAATACGGCATCACCAGACATTGTCCCGTTCTTCCTGCCGTTCCGGTGTGGGTATGTTTCGCAGATGCTTTTCGCCCTTCTACAATTCCACCGTTACATGACCAATAAGGTGGGCGTCCGACACACGGGTAGATTGGATAGTCGTTGGGTGTTGTTAATAAACTCAGGCCTGCGCGAAACGCCACGTTGTGGTCTCGTGCAAACCCGAGAATCCCATTCGGTGTTAGATGTCCAAATTGTATCAAATTTCCATGGGTCTTGCTGTACCGACGTAAGTAGTCAATTGGTGTGGGAATTGCCCACCAGCCTTTGTGCTTTTCGTCCGCTTCTTGCAAGATGCCAATTCGGCGCTCCAATTCCGCGTATAATGCTTCTTGATACACTCGAGCTGCCTCCATTTTTGTAGTAGCATTAATGTGCTCCTTGTTTACTGATCTGAGCGGAATTAGTGGAATCCCTTTTTCGTCTCGTACCAATTCGACTGTCCTGTTCACTTCTGGTCTCAAGCATGGTGGGGAAGCGCCTAATGCGATTGCTGGGCACTTAAAATACTTTGATATTTCCTTCAAATACTTTGAGTATTTTTCCATGAAATCATTAAATGATTTTATTTCTCCTCCGTCTGCGCCCTTTATTAGCTGTTTAATGTCGTTTGTGCCTCCTCTGATGTATGCCTGTGCGAATTTAAAGTCTGGTGCCAGGTTTAGGTCATGTTCAATTAGCATTCTCAGACATTCTGCAGACATCACTCCATTTCCGACAACTAACGACCACCCACTCATGGTCCACTGTAATTGTAATAAAATTTACTGTATATTCATTCAGGATTCTCTTTTAAATGTTCTTACTTGTAGAATCTCGACGTCTAGGTCGTCCACCATATATCCCACATCCATCACAGGGTAATGTACCCATTCCTCGCAGTCTACTCTAGTTCGATAACTGTCCTTTTTTCCCCCAAAATGAAAGGTGCTACACATCGAGGTACTAATTAGTATGATGGCTTTTTTCGAGGAATTTCGTCGTGGTTCTCCTCCAATCGGGGTTCGTTCGGTGCTAAATTTGTAATTATCGACGATTGTGCCTGGGATAGGCAGATCAATGTTCTTCCCTTTCAGTTCCCCGTAGATTTCATGCGTCAATCCCATTTCTGCCGCACTCCTCCAATCGGGGTTCGTTCGGTGCTAAATTTGTAATTATCGACAATTGTGCCTGGGATAGGCAGATCAATGTTCTTCCCTTTCAGTTCCCCGTAGATTTCATGCGTCAATCCCATTTCTGCCGCGACGTTGGCGAAGTAATTCGGTGGTGAGATTGGAAAGAATTTTGAAATCCTGAAGATCATCGATAAGTGCACTACATAAGAAAATAGACTATTAATTTCATTCTGCCTTTTTACTCTTTTTGAGTTTTCTATTTACCGAATCCGTATCCGTCCCTTGTTCTTGGCCCTAGTGCAATTGCGCTCGGGTTCATTGTCGCATCCACTTCGTTTTCTTTGGGATCTTCCTTGTCCAGGATGAACACGGCGGAAGCTTCAATTGTTCCCAGGTTAATTGTTCCGCCCTCAATCACTTCCATTTGTGACATATCTGTAATATAACTTACTTATAGCTCTTATTGTTCCTTTATTTTTTCACTTTCTTATATACCTGTTCTTTCCACATCGGGTTCTACGTGTAGCTTTAAGGATTCACGCCAGATTTTTTCTAGTGCTTTTTCCTTTCCCACATGTAGCGTCAGATTTCCCAGCTTCATTTCAATTGTATCGCCTGTAAAACGAGGGTTTCGTTCTAGAAATATTCTTAGTTCTCAATATTTTTCTACATAATTTTTTCTAGTGCTCTTTCCTTTCCCACATGTAGCGTCAGATTTCCCAGCTTCATTTCAATTGTATCGCCTGTAAAACGAGGGTTTCGTTCTAGAAATATTCTTAGTTCTCAATATTTTTCTACATACCCATGTTCTTTAATTCGTCGTTGTTGTTCAAACTTAGGAACAGTTCTGTTGGTTCCATAAAACCTCGCAATAGGTGATCTCGATCCACTTTAGTTATTGCCGTAAAGGCCTTTCGTAATCAACAGTAACGACGGCAAAGCCGGAACAAACTTAGGAGTTAATCCGCTGCTGCCCGCAAATCGCAACAATAGTAACAACAGAGGCTGACACGGTCAAAGTGTACAAGAAGGAGGTGACTGTAATTGAACGCCTTCTTTCGGTTTAACGAGGCTTGGGAACCTTCTATCATTCTGTCGCATAGGAACTCGTTCTTTATTACTCCCAGACATTCCACCAGACGTTTCCATGAGTCCAAGCTTAGCTTCTCTAGTTCATTCATGAAATCGGTTGCAATCGTCGGGAACCTCACTGTTCGTTCTTCTTGTTTGTTTGGTTCATTTCCTGTAAATT